GAGTACAAGAGGGACAAGATTTCTTGGGACAAGCTCTTTTTCCTTTTCTAAGAGCAATGGGTAAATCATCAGAATCAGTAGTAATGGGTAAGTCATCAGAAGTATTAACATCATGATCAGAAATATGAGATTCAGGACTTACTAGTGGTTCAGACGATTGAGGTTGCTGCTGAGACAATGTGGGTTGTTTCCTTCTTTCAGGTGTCATAATCTTTCGTATCTCTGGTGTACTTGATGTATCAATCACAGGAGAATCAGTCACAGGAGGATTACTCACAAGAGGATCAGACACAGGAGGAACAGACACAGGAGGAACATGACCAGGTGGAGGATACACTGACATAGGTAAAGGAGTAGACACTGATGATTCAAACTCAAAGAAGGGAGGTGATGAGATTTCTGGTGAATGATTCTCCCCCTGAAGATGAGGACCTTGGAAAAAGGACTCAGATTCCTGAAATGTAACATCCATAGAAACAAAAAATTTCCTACTACTAGGGTGATAGCACTTGTAGCCCTTCTTATCAGGAACATAACCAAGAAAAACACATTTAATAGCCCTAGGGTCCAACTTACTGCGATGATGTTTATGAACATGAACAAAAGCAACACACCCAAACACTCGTGGAGGAAGACTCATCATAGTTGGAATAGAAGGGAAAAAAGAAGTCATAGAGTGAATAGGACTTACATGGTCAAGTACCCGAGTGGGTAAACAGTTGATCAAGAATGCTGCAGTAAGAATAGCATCTCCCCAATAGTATTTGGGTACATGTGTCTGAAACATTAATGCACGAGCCACTTCAAGAAGGTGACGATTTTTTCTTTCAGCAACCCCATTCTGTTGGGGGGTGTCAACACAAGTAAGTTCATGAATCATACCGTTATTTCTTATAAATTGGGAAAAGCTATGATTAACATATTCAGTACCATTATCTGTTCTTAGTCTCTTGAGTTCTTTTACCAAATTGGGTCTCAATCATTTTATAAAATTGAAAGAACAGTTGTGGTACCTCAGACTTTTCACGCATTAAGTACACCCAAGTTACACGAGTGCAATCATCAATAAAAGAAACAAACCATCTATTTCCAGAACCATGAGGGACTTTATAGGGACCCCAAACATCAGAATGAATAAGATCAAAAGGTTCAACACTCTTAGTAATACTAGAAGGAAAAGACACACGATGATGCTTAGCAAATTCACAAACATCACAATGAAAAGACTCAACAGATTTAGACAAAAACAATGACGGAAATAAAGATTTGAGTAAACTAAATGGAGGATGACCTAAGCGCTTATGATGAAGCCAAATCAAAGAATCAGCAGTTGATTGACCATGAGACATCTAGATGTGATTTGTTACTTTATTTGCAGGAGATTGTGACACCAGATAGTACAGCCCACCTTGCTCTTTAGCACTACCAATCGTCTTCCCCGTGGCGAGATCCTGAAAAACACAATGGGTAGGATAGAAGGTTACAGTACAATTCAAATCTTTTGTAATTTTATGAATAGAAAGAAGATTCGTGGAGAGTTTAGGAACATGAAGAACATCCTTAAGATGTAAGGATTGCTGTAAGTTTATGTCACCAGATCCCGCAACTGATGTATGAGAGCCATCAGCTACGGCTATTGTATGAGTTACAATGGTAGGATGATAAGAGGTAAAGGAGTCAGCACAACAAGCCATATGATCAGTAGCACCAGAATCAACAACCCAAGAATGTTTAAAATCATTACATGAAGAAAGGAAAGAATAAGTTTTGGAGCTCATACCAGTCATAGTCAAAGCACTAGTATCAGATGGCTTACTCAGAATCAAGAATGGTTCGGAGCCGTTCCAACTCATCTGGAGGAAATGCAGGTTGGGTCTTATTAGGTGTATGAGTTATTTCAGAGGAAGTAAAATGCGCTTGACCACGCAACTTTGCCATCTTTTCTAAGACAGATTGCTTTCCATAAAGGCGAAAGCATAAATCCTTGATATGACCTGTTCTTTTACAATAAGAACACCATCGATCATCTCTCTTAGGTCTAGAAGAGGTACCATCATAAAATTTTGAAAAAGAACTCCTTTAAGAAGAGGTCATACTGCACAGAAAATAGTCAAAGAAAAGCTCCAAGAAGCCAAAAAATCACAAATAAATACCAAACGATGTCCGATCAAAGAGAGGAGCACATATCCAGAAAGAGGATGAAGGGACGATCAAGATCGCGGTGGTCCGATCCGGAAATATGATCACACGCGCCGGTGAGATTGGCTGCGCGTGGGCTTCACTCGCGTTTGAAGGGGCGGCGCGTGTGGGCGCGTGCGGTGGCCGTCCGGTCTGAAATTTCTGGAGCAACGTCGTCCGGTGAGCGCGGTTCTTTCTGGGTTTGTTCGGAGTTGAAAAACCACCGGGAAAGGGTCCAATTGTGATGAACATATGCTGTCTTGTGATGAAGAATAATGGAGACGATGAACAGTAACAGAGATCCAGTATAACAGAGATCTTCTCGGTCCAAGAGGTCCCCGGAAAAAAAAATCCGGTGGCGGCTGATGGCAGCGAGAGACAAAAAGAATAAAAGGTTCTTGTTCTAAAGACAATAGGCGCGGAAGCAGAGCCCTCAGGATCGAGAGCTCTGATACCAACTTGAAATAAAAGGGTATTTGAAATATTATTGAATCGTATTTGAATCTGTACATAGGGGTCTCTATTTATAGAGACTTCTTGACCTAATTTTGACCTAATGGGCTTGGCCCAATATACAAGTAACGGACTAAATAAATACAAATAAATGACTACATAATTACTATTTACAACAATATGTTTACCAAGTGAGAAGAGGAAAGGTTGCGGCGAATTAGAGAAGTTAAAAAATCATAAGATATTATTTTTTATGATACATTATATATATATATATATGCTCATAAGATATTTTTTTTAAATATTTTTTATTAAAAAATACATGCATAGCCTAAAGGTTTAGAGGCCAAGCCTTCTAAAATTGGCTTGTGACATGATTTCTACATAAGTTTTTTAATGAGCTCAAAAATATACTATTTCTAAAACAGGTCAAGCCAAAACTGGCCAAAAATAGACCAGGTTGTAGGCCCTTATCAAGCTGCTGACCCATTTATATCCCTACTTGTAATAGCACATGAATACATGATTAATAAGTCACCTTACAAAGCTAATGATTAAAGGACAGATACGAGATTTCAACTAAACCTAGACATCATGGCTTACTAAGAAACATCCTGCAAACGAGATAGGTTGACAAAGCCACCAGAATCTATCAATTATAAACAAATTAATCATGTCACCATAATAAGGCGATATAATAAGACAACAAGCATGTCAAGATGCCGCTACTATAAAAGATAGACTCAAAGCTCAATTATGTTCTTTCAATATACTTAGGGCCCGTTTGGAGCACCTGATAAGAAAGATAGGATATGATAGTTTATCATATCCTCTTTTAATCAGCTGTTTGGTGAGCCTATAGGATAAGATAAAGCTACCAGGTTGGCTCATTTTATCCTATCGAGAGCCTGATAACTTATCCTAAGAGGATAGGATTGAAAAATTAAATTTATTTTATTCCATCCTAACCCTCTCCATTTTTTTCTCCTTTTCCCCCACTCTCACTTTACCAATGTATCACCGATAACCTTGCCACTGCCAGTCTGGCCAACCCCACCTTGACCATGATCGGAGTCCACACTGGCGATGCCACTTCGGCGACCAAGGGCAAGAGAGACAGCTTATAGGTGATGACGGAAAACGAGGGTTTTGGTTCAAGGTGAAGTTAGAAACGAGCGTCTTTGTTAGAAACATGCTACCATTTACAAGCCTTTCATTATGGTATTTGAGTTCACCGTCTCATCCCAAGAATTTGTTTGCATAGAAATGTTGGCATCACCTCCAAACTTCTCGTGTTGTATGCATCGTGTGGGTTTATTGATGAGGCCCACTATCTGTTCGATCAAATAGCTAACCATCATGCTTATTTCTTTTTCTTAAATAAATGAAAATAGGAATTAATGTATAAATAAATTAAAAAAGAAGTTTTAAAATCAAATAAAAAAATTATATAAAAATCTATTATTGAGGGTATTTTTGTCTATTTAAAATATATCCTGATGCAATCTGATCCACACCAAACACATGATAGAAAATTGTTATCTTATCAAGTTTTTTATCTGGTGCACATCAAATACAGGATAAGATACGACCTTATCAAACTCATATCATATCTTACCCAATTATCTTATTTATCTTTATCCTATCCTGTATATCAAATAAATTTAAACTTATCATTCAAATATTAATTTGAGTGTGCGAGTACCTTGTACAGAAGCACTTTCTCCTTTTCCAACCGAAGCACGCACTAACAACATTGGAGCTATTATCTTGCGTAGTAAAGTAGGTGATCCCGTCACATTAACTCTACAAATCACCAACTTGGACCAGGTTGCCAACTCTTTATGATCATTGATCATGTCACTAATAAAATAATGATTTTGTTACAATCAAGTCAAGGTTACGCTTGCATAAATTTTTAAAATTAATTTTCCTTAATAATTTTTAATTTTATTGTCTTATTCGAAGAGTATTAAAACATTTATTTTTAAATTATAACTTTCTATATAGAAAAACCAAACAAATGAGCCTTAAATACAAGAGACAATCAAGAACATAAAAAAATAGTAAAAAGACAAGCATCTTTGTGATGCTTTTATTTGTCCAGATGCCGAGTAGGAAGCGAATTGTATTCCATGCTCCGAACAAAATAATAATAAAAAAAAATAAAAAAAAATAAAAATAAAAAAAGATGCCACGCAGTCACATGCGCGCACCGATTATATGTCTAATGTCTTCACTTCACTAACGACTCAAACAGGTTTAGGTAACAACTAACAAACAATTTCCCAGTTCAACGGAGACAGGATCAGAAGAGAAAAACAGCACACATAGCTTCCAGCTATCTCTCTCTCTGATTCCTTCTTCTTCTTTGTTCAGCTAATATGAGTTCAATCGTTCAGGTGCGGCGCTTCCCCTTCAATCACACAATAGATTTATTTACTTCTTATCTGTTAACGCCAATCCCTTTTTCTTTTCTTTTTTCATTAGGGTTTCACAAAGTCGCTGGCCTTGACCATACTCTCTGAGATCGGTGATAAAACTTTTTTTGCAGCTGCGGTCAGTTTCTATTTAAAAAAAATTGTTTTTTTGGTTCTCCATTTGTCTTATTCCTTTGTATCGTGTACTCCAGATTAATGGGTTGGGTTCTGTCTCTAGGCATTTTGAGTAATTTTCTGGACAGGAACTATCTGAGATATGGCCTTTTTTAATTTATTTTTTTCTGTTTTGTCTTTCAGTTGGAATTTGACCAAGGAACTGCATAAGTGTTCCAGGAAATTTTATTTTAATGGATTTTATTTTTGAATTTGGGAATCAGTGCTCTCAGTTGCGTTTCCTGTTAATTGGTTTTAAATAAAACATTTTTTCATTGCTCTGCTATAAGCTAACACATGTCCAAAGCTGTGTTTAATGAAGTGAGTTTGAAATGTTTGATGTCTTCGATTACTTCAATTGCATGGTTCCTAACAAAGAATAAAGGGCCTTTATATTTGTCTTTGTGGTCTTTAGAGTAGAAATCAATATTCTGACTGTTTGATATCATGATTCTTATTTCAAGATACTGGCTATGCGACACCCAAGACGCCTTGTCTTATCAGGTTGCCTATCTGCTTTGATTGTAAGCAAATTTTTTTCTTCTTTCCCTTTTCAGCTTCATTATCTTTTTTTTTTTTTTTTTTAAGCCATGATAAATTGCGTATTGTATCAACATAAACATGACCTTTATTCCAAACCAATTGGGGATAATTTGCTCATTATATGATCTAGTTTTTTGCCTTTTGAATCTCATAGTTCCTTGTAAAATTTGATTATTCTAGGTGATGACCATTCTCTCTGTCCTTGTTGGCTGGGCTGCTCCAAATCTGGTGAGCATTATTCATAGCTGGTTTAACTTCACAATTCTAATCATTATTTATGAATTTAAGATTGGATATTCAGCATGAATGCATTAGAGAGGTGTTGTCCAACTCTTGTTTAGCCATATTACTCTTTCTTTTTCCTTGATTTTTTTCCCTTAGTCATCTTAATGTAATTCTGCAGATCTCTCGTCAATGGACTCATCATATTACCACAATTTTATTCTTAGGGTTTGGATTTTGGTCCTTGAAAGAAGCTATATTTGAAGAAGGGTAATGATTTATTATCCCTCACATTAACTTGCTAATCCTTTTCTAATGAACATCAGTTTGCATCTGAATTGACTTTTGTTCCCATGCTTAATGATTTCATTTGACGGGCAGGGATGCAGAAGAATTGGCTGAAGTTGAAGCCGAATTGGTTAATTTTTCACTTGTATTTGATTTCTTATTTCAAGTCAATTTTTTATTTTATTTTCTTCTTGACAGCATCCTTGTATTGTGATTAGGACAAAGATTGGAAGGCTAAAAATGGAGCTACAAAAGATAGTAATAAGGTAAAACAATATTTATCCAACAAAAATTTGTCTTGCCTTCATCCTCTGTCTGCCCCCATGTTAGCATGTATTGAAAGTTAAGTCAGGTCTTTAAGACCATGCATGATCATATTATATATTTATATAAATCTTTCAATAAAAGATATTTTGTTTAGTTCCTGTGATTATTAAGTGGTTAAAAGATCCTTGGAAAATCCTTACAACTACTACAATAGAAACCAAGAGAGAGATTCTCAATAACTAGATTACAAATAAATTGCTTTAAAAATATTCAAACATTAAATAAGGCACGCAGAATCTTGCAGGAAAAGCTTTAATACCAAAATTTTCAATTGGATGACTCCTTATTTATGAGCTGGGATAAGAATCTTGCTACTTATTTCCAATAAATAATAGATTATAATATTATAATCAAACAGAGTTCTCTCAGATGCTATATATTTGTTGTTCTAAAACTGTTTATGCATTGTGTCTTAATTCCCAGGTTGATGATGACTCAAAAAAGCATAAACGGTCATTTTTATCTCAGTTTTTCTCTCCCATATTTTTACAGGTAATACATTAATAGTATCTCTATGCAGTATTTCACTGAACACTGAACTAAGTTAAATTTGATCCCCTTTATCCTCTCCATTCCGCAGGCATTTTCTATAAACTTTTTTGGTGAATGGGGTGACAAGAGCCAGGTGAACATAGTTGGGAAACATGTTTTTTTCCTGCATAGGCTTCATTATCGGAGACCGTTTCATCACTTCTCTAATCATATCTTTGTTCTGTTTCAGCTGGCTACTATAGGTTTGGCTGCAGATGAGAACCCATTTGGTGTGGTTCTTGGAGGGATTCTGTAAGTTTTGACTATTAGTTTTTCTGTCTGCATTTTAGGGTCAACTTGTTTCCTTTTGAGATTTTGACTATTTTCCTTTGGTTGCCCATGATGGCATATGTTATTTCAATATATATATTTTTTTGGCTGAATTCTGCATACATGTTTGTGTACCTTACGAATGCTTTGTGTTTATCTGGAGGCATAAATATGTAAGATGTGTCACATGCCCTAAGGTTCTGCAATTTCTTTGGAGAAGACTGTTATTCTTAATTGTTTTTAACAGGGGACAAGCATTGTGCACTACTGCTGCGGTTGTTGGAGGAAAAAGTTTAGCTTCCCAGATATCTGAAAAAGTGGTAATAATTATTTTTCCTTTTATTTACGTAGCATGTTGCAATTACTTTAGCCTTACTTACAAATGTTTTCCAATGTGGCATGTTGTCCATCTGTTTTTCCCTTCTGATTTTTGTTAATTTTTTTAATTCAACATTCCGTTTCTTAAAATGTCCTCCCGGATCAGGTTTAAATAATCGCAAAATTGGTTTTAGACTACCCAGAAATAGTGGAAGTAAAATCATAAAGATGATGGAATAATGAATAGGATGCAATATGCAAACACAAAATATGGCATGACACTTTTAGGGTTGTAGTGTCAAGTGTGCAATTTGATTTACCGGATTACTGGTATAGTATTAAGCTGAGCACTAATGTCATCTAAATGTTGTACTCAATACTTTGCAGGTTGCAATCTCCGGTGGAATTCTTTTCATTGTTTTTGGTATCCAATCGTTCCTTTCTCCAGTTGAATAATGAAGGCTATGCTCTTGGTTAGTGATTATTCTTAATCCCTTTTTTTACATTTATGTTTAGCAAATATAGTTGTTATAGTGGTTGAGGTTGGCTGCCAAAAGAGCTCAGTTTTGTGCCTTATCCACCCTGGGTCAAAGATTTCATTGTTCTCACCCTTCAAATATTTTATGGTTCAAAATAAAGATACCATTGTAGAACCAGAACCAAATTCAATATAAAAAGTTAACTTAGTGGGGATTATTCTTTTTTCATGTGGTGGATTATTCTTTTTGAATGTGCCTACACTTAATCTCTTTATCTTACTCCCTCCATGGCTCCATCTATTTAATGCATGCGTAAATTCCCAATAAATTCCCAATGCTTCTTTGCCGGAGAAATAAAAGGACCAGTTTGGAAAAATTACTTTTTAATTTCTAGGTTGTTTTATTATTGTGCCATCGGAATAACTGTGAGAATGCCTGACTGCCTGGCTTGGAGGAAGTAATAAAATAAGGAGGATAGTGGGGAAGGGAGAAAACTGAAAAGACCAAATTAGCTTGTATGCCCCTCTTCAGCTTTGACTGCATAAGATGTTGGCACTGTTGAATCAATGTTGTGGTGGTGACCTTTTTGTCCATGCTTGTGTAGAGGGGAGGAAAAGCCTTTCCTTCATTGGAGCAGAAGTTAAAAGTGGGATTGGTAGGCCATCAAATGCCATGCGCATTAAGTTTATACAATAATCTCTCCTTGCAACGGGAGATTCACTTGACTGACGATCGCTCGTTATTTTGTTGGTGTCTTTGACAAGGCTCATCTTTAGTTTAGCATTATTTTTCCTTGTTGTGTCAAAAACTTGCACTGTAATAGTAAGTCTTGCTTGAACCCCGATAGTTTCAACTATGAAAAGCTTCATATCCAAGTCCCCCCGCCCCCCTTTCAATTTTTTTTTTTGTTATGGCACTCCGGCTAAAAAACAAGTAGGGAAAAAGAAAACAGAGAAAAGAAAATTATTGTTGTTCACCGTGAAGTTAGTGACTTAAAATGATCTCCGCGCTCTTTTAAACACTTGGAAAAAGATTTCTTTGTATGGAGCGGAAACTAGAATGTCTAGAGACACCAGAACCCAAAATAATTTTTAATTTGGTTCAAAATTTTATGTATTATTGTAATGAGAACTTTGAGTGACTGAAATTACTTTAGAAAAAACAAATCTGGGTATAACATTGTAGAAGAAAAAAAATGTAAATCTCTTGTACCAACAAACAAAACCAGGAGGAGCAATTTTCCTAAACACAGTAAACTTAAGCAGATATGAATGAATTAATGTCAAAAGGAAGTTATACACCAGAAATTTCCCAGGAACTGTTATAATAAAAATTTAGGGCTATCATGTTGTGAGTGGGTGCGTGAAAAGATTTCTGAAGGCTCTGCTAGGTTTTTTCTTTCGCATGGTAATCAAGGGGGGCAGATCCTCCAATTCTGAGGGGGACACATCAATTAACAAGGATCCGAAGAATGCCAAAGGTGAAGCTGTCATGGATCTGGATATGCAGGAGCACTCTTCGTGTGCGGGAGCCATGGATTTTGAAGCTGACGGTGCGAATCTGAAGAGAGATGGGTGGATCTGAATCCAGTCCAGGTATGGAAGATGAAGTGCGAAGAGATCCTCGTAAGTTGGTTTCTTACAAGGATCACCTCCTTCGCGTGAATGGTGTTTGAGATGGAAATCCAGAGCAAGAAGATGATGACTGGCTGGCTCAATGTAAACGTGAGGAAGCAGAGGATGACGAAGCGCTGAAGGCGTATGAACAATCAGGGGACAATGACCCACTGAACCCATATTACCAGTTCGATGTTCTTGAGAAACTGGAGCAATGTAGAAGATGGAGGAAGGCTCTAATAGTTAAGCTCGTGGGAAAGATGATTGGGGCCAGAATGCTCTGGAATCGGCTTCATAGACTCTGGAATCTGGAGGGGGAGTACAAAGTACTTGATTTGGAGAATGACCACTACATGGTCGAATTTGAGAAGACTCAGGACTATGTGTTCGTGCAGCAGCAGGGGCCATGGGTCGTTGCAGATCATTACCTGATTGTTCAACGGTGGAGGCCGAATTTCGACCCATATGACGACAAAGTGAAGAAGCTTGCGGTTTGGATTAGAATCCCTGGAGTACCTAGGGAGTTCTATACGCATAAAGACCTGTGGAGAATGGGGAACATGGTGGGTCGAACCCTAAGAATTGATGAGAGTTCTCTAAGGATTAGCGGTCAAGGCCAGCTAGAGGAGATTACTGACAGAGGTCGCTTTGCATGCATCTGTGTTGAAGTAGACTTGAGCAAAAGTCTACTTTCAAAATTCAGAATCGGACAGAGGCAATTGTTCATAGGATACGGGGGATTACATCAAATTTGTTTCCTGTGTGGCCAATATGGTCACAAAGGAGACCAGTGCCCTTTAAATCCTGAAAATATGAAGAAGACTGAAGTTAATGAAGGGGGGAGATGCAAGGCCAACAGGCTGAACACAGTGGTGCAAAAGTAGTAATCAAGGAAGAGATTGAGAGAAGCCAAGAAGAGCATGGGTTTGGAATCTGGATGAATGTCCAGAGAAGGAGTAGGAAAAGGCATGTGCCATACCAGAAGCCAAATAAGGTAAGTGTAAGTAAGGTTCCTAATTCGAGGAATGTGGGCCTGAATGCTAATAATACAAATGCTGGCTCGAGGTTTGGTCCTCTAGAAGAGGATAAAGATGGGGAATCCCAAGCTCAGATGGGTAACAGTTCAAATTCGGTGCCTGGAGACTCCAGTCAGCAGCGAAGGAACCAGGGAGGAAGGAAAAAAAAAGTGCTACTGATAGGAGCTTCTCAATTCCGAAACAAGAAAATGTAGTTGTGGGCTCGGTGAAACATGTGACTAATCTCTCTGTTAAAGAAGGTTCAAAGAATCCTATACAAAAACTGCCTAGTAGAGTAGCTATATTGGTAGATAGGGGTATGAACAGGGGAAATATTCAGGGGGAGACCTCTTCGGGTTTAAAGCAATTGGGGATTGATGGTGACCCAAAAGATGTGATAGGAAGTGAGACAAGCCTGGGAGTTAATTCCAGTCATGGCAGAATAGAACACCCACCAGATGGCAGGGGAGTTGCAAAAGAAGGACATTTAGAGGGGAGGACTGCTATGGTTCTGGATGATATAACGAATGATTTGGGTATCAGGGATATCCCAATTCTTCTAGTCTAATTGCCCTGTCCTGGTCTGTACCCTATCTTTCCTTTTGATGATTGTGTGTACATAGAATTGTAGAGGAGCGGGGAAAAAGGGTTCTCAGCTCTTATTAAGGATATGGTTTTTCAGAATAGAATACAAGTTCTGGTTTTGTTGGAAACAAGGATTAGTGGGAGTAAGGCTAACAGGGTTGTCAAAAGCCTTGGATTTGATAGTTTTTTCATAAGGGAAGCTGTTGGGTTTTCGGGGGGCATTTGGATTCTTTGGAATAAAAGCATGACTAGCATTAGCATCTTGGAGGAAGATCACCAATTTGTGCACTCCTGAATAACCTGGTTGAATTCGGGATTTGATGAATTCTTTACTTTCATATATGGAAGTCCGAGAAGGTCTGAGAGGAAGGATCTTTGGGAAGGTTTGAGAAACATAGTAGGTTCTGTGGAAGGGAAATGGGCTGCCATGGGAGACTTCAATGCATATACTCAAGTGTGGGAGAAGCAAGGTGGTGTTATTGCCAATGGGGATAGTACCCTTGACTTTGTTACTTGCCCAAATGAATATGGGCTATTTGATCCTAGGTTCTCAGGTCCGAAGTTTACATGGAAGTGAGGAGCTCTCCAAGAAAGATTGGACATATTGGTGGGGAATGATGAGTGGCTCCAGGGGTTCCCTAATAGGTCTATTTTCCACCTCAATTATCATGGTTCGGATCATAGGCCCATTGTGCTAAGGAATGAGTGTAGTAATGGAGCTCCTAGTGGTGTCAAACCTTTTAGATTCTTAGCTGCTTGGATAACAAATGACAGCTTTGGGGAAGTGGTGGATAAGTGCTGGGATATGGAGAATAGTTGAATTCTGGCCAAAGATAACTTCCAGAAAGAGGCATCTGATTGGCACCAGCATACTTTTAAAATGGATCAGAAAAGAAAGTTCAAACTTCAAAGAAGAATTAAGGGAGTGGACTGTCAACTTAGCAGGGGCCCTGATGTGGCCTTGGAAAGGCTTCACAAGGACCTATGGGCTGAACTGAATTCCATTTATATCCAGGAAGAACTTACCTAGTTCCAGAGGTCTAGGAGTAATTGGTTGGCATTTGGTGATAGGAACTCCAAGTTCTTCTATGCAGCTACAGTGGCTCAGTCCAGAAGAAATAAGATTGGAGCTCTGAAGAATGAGGATGGGGAATGGATAGAGGATCCCGAGAAGGTTAAGGCCATGGCTATTGGTTATTTTAAGAACCTGTATGAAATGGAGGATCAAGCTACTCTTAGTGTTGGCAGTCTGAATAGATTTCCAATAATTGCAAATGGTGAGTGGGCTAAGATTGGAGAATCCCCTAATATGGAAGAGCTGAGAAGGACAATTTTTGAGATGAATCTGTTTAAAGCCCCGGGGTCTGATGGCCTCCATGCTATCTTCTTTCAGTCAAATTGGGGCAAGGTGAGCAAGTCTGTGTATAAACTGGTTCAAGAGGTATTCAAAGATCCTGAGGAAGTGGCAAAAATTAACCAAACCCTCATTTGCTTGATTCCGAAGGTGGATCACCCAGAAATGATAAGCCAATTCAGACCTATTAGTTTATGTAACGTGATTTACAAAAGTATAACAAAGATGATAGCTTCCAGGCTCAGAAATCACATGTGTACACTGGTCATGCCAAATCAGTGTAGTTTTGTTAAAGGCAGGCATGCCACTAACAACATCATTATAAGCCAGGAAATTTTTCACTCTATGAGGTTCAAGAGAGGGAAGAAAAGGTGGATGGCTGTGAAGGTAGACTTGGAGAAAGCTTATGACAGGGTGAGTTGGGCCTTTCTGGAGGAAACCTTGGTGTGGACAGGCATGCCAATGTCACTTGTGAGAATTATTATGGCTTGTGTCTCTACCTCCTCAATGAACATTCTATGGAATGGGGCTTTAACGGAAGAGTTCACTCCCTCAAGAGGGATCAGACAGGGTGATCCTTTATCCCCTTATCTGTTCGTGTTATGTATGGAAAGGTTAGGACACTTGATCAACACAGCTGTGGAGGATAAGAGATGGAAGCCTATCAAGCTGGGGAAGAATGGGGTCCCAATTTTCCATTTATTCTTTGCTGATGATTTGCTTATTTTCTCAGAAGCAAATGGGGACCAAGCTGATCTGATCTCGATCATTTTGAGTGAATTCTGCATAGCATCTGCCCAGAAAGTTAGCAACAGCAAATCTAGATGCTGTTTTTTCAAGGAATGTTAATCATCTAAGAAGATTCGAGTTGAGCCAAGCCATGAATTTCACTATTGCACCTGACCTTGGGAAGTATCTTGGGATCCCTATCTTTCATAAGAGGGTAAACAAGGATACTTTCAGTTATATTCTTGATAAAACAAGTAGCAGGTTGAATGCTTGGAAGGAGAAGTTCCTCTCTATGGCTGGAAGAGTAGTGTTAACTAAAGCAGTTCTTGAGGCACTCCCAATGTACTCCATGCAGTCTGCTATGCTTCTTGCCAGTACCTGTGAGGCAGTGGAACAAAGGATGAGAGGGTTTGTGTGGGGTTCCAACAGAGGAAAAAGGAAGGTTCATGCCTATCCTTGGAATGTGGTTTGTAGAGCCAAAGACAATGGAGGTTTGGGTATAAGGAATCTGAGGAGTTCTAACCAAGCCTGCCTGATGAAAATAGGTCATGGCATGTTTGACTCACAGGAACAACCTTTGGGTTCAGGTACTAAAAGACAAGTATATAATGGGTGATGGGTAGGTATCTACCATTCCTAAAAAATCTGGTTGCTTCAACCTCTGGATGGGTTTGTCTCGAGTCTGGCCAAAGATTTATGAAGGGTCAAGTATTATGGTGAGGAATGGCATGGGGAGCTTTTTCTGGAGAGACAAATGGTTGACTATAGGACCTCTAAGAGATCATGTGCATCGGGAAATTCCTGCTGAGCTGCGAGATGCTACGGTTGTGGATATGGTTAATCAAAACAGCGAGTGGGAATGGCAGGTCTTCAGTCATCTACTCAACCAAGAAGCTTTGGAACTGATTGCAACTCATAGGCCTCCTGATAGGGATGAAGGGGAAGACAGGGTAATATGGGATTATTCCCAAGATGGAAGCTTCACCATAAAGTCAGCATACAATTTTTTATGTAATGAGGAGTTTGTCCATAATCAGGGTCACTGGGGGCTGGTGTGGAAATGGGAGGGTCCCCCTAGAGTGAAGACATTCCTTTGGCTCCTGGTTGGGGAGAAGCTTCTCACTAACTTTAGAAGAGTGCAGAGGCATATGTCGGATTCAAGTGTATGTCCGAGATGTCAGGGAGAGAGGGAATGCTGCCTCCATGCTATTAGAGATTGCTATTGGGCAAGGTTAGTCTGGAAACCTTTTGTTCGACCAGAGTGCTGGCATGAATTTTTTGGTCTTCCTCTGCTTCCCTGGGTAAGCTCTAATCTGAATAAAGAAAGTTGCATGTTAGTTGGGGAGAATGGGAACATGTTGTTTGGGCTGATTGGCTGGTTTATATGGAAAGAAAGAAATAGTTTTATCTTTGAAGATGAAGCCCCCATTGAAGGTAGAACAACTAGAATGGCTTGTGTTTATTTGTCTAATCATGTTAATGCAAAATGTATGTATAAGAATGTAGGCTTGCAGAAAAAAGTTTGCAGAGAGACTATGGTGAAATGGGAACAGCCCCCTTTGGGTTGGATTAAGGTGAACACTGACGGCTCATCAAAGGGAGGAAGCCAGAAGGGAGGTTGTGGTGGTGTGCTGAGGGATGAGACTGGTGAATGGAAAATGGGATTTGTAAAGAAACTTGGAACCTGCAACCCAGCTAGAGCTGAAGTTTGGGGGGTACTCCTGGGCTTGCAGACTGCTTGGAACCTTGGGTTTAAAAAGATTATCATAGAAGGAGATTGCCAAGTGGTGCTGAAGATGATTGAGCTTGGGGTGGCTGAAAACCATCCTCTTGCGGATCTGCTTAGAAGAATATCCCTGCTGAGAAATCGTGAATGGCAGGTGGAGTTTGTCTACATTCCTAGAGAGGGGAATGGGGTAGCTGATTGGCTTGCAAGCTATGCCATCTCCTTAGGTTGGGGGACTGTTCTGTTAGAATCTCCCCCTTTAGGTTGCTTTGAGTTTGTTGATAGAGATCTTAGAGGGGTAGTTTTGCCCCGTGTGAGTAGGAACCTGTAATTGTTCTTTCAAATTTCTTTGGCTTTCAAAAAAAAAAAAAAAAAAATTAGGCATGATAATTCATGTCAATAGGTCGCGTTCGTACTGGGTTAATGATTATGAACGCATTCGATTCAAACACAACACATAAAGATTCGTGTCAAGACCTTTGATATGAATAGAACATAATTTTTTAATGGTTGATATGCGATACAACACGATTAGCTTGTGTATTGAATATTGTTTTCATCAATATTATGTTTATATGACATGATATAACATGAATAGTCGAGAAGAATATTAACACAAGTTAATGTTGTGTTTGCGAATTGACCATATGAATTTTTTCATGTCATTTTTAATTAACATGAATGTGAATGTGAGTCAATCCAGACACATAAATTTTGTGTCGTATGAGTGGATAGTGTGGTGAATTTTACCCTTGATCAAGACTGGGGCGTTCAAGTAAATGCAGTATGTTTAAGTTGCCAAGGAATCAAATTCTTAGGGTTCAACATGTTCAATGTTTTTATATATCAAACGTTACTTTAAGTATAATTTTTAAGGGAAAAATGTTTCTGCAGTTAATGCAGATAAGTTATCTGCATTTATTTTCAAAACGACGTCGTTTTGGGATTGAAATTTTAAAAAATTATAAATATAAAGACTATTATAACCCTGAAATAAATTAAAATTACAAAAATACCATGATTTTTGCCTCAAAACGACGTCGTATTTGACTTACTGTTGATAATTATCTGCAGTAACTGCAGAAAAAGCGAACCCAATTTTTAATGCATGAATTCAATATAAATTACTCTCCAAAACTTTACGTAAAAATGATGAGATGATCTATTAAGTGTAAATATATAACAAAATATAAACAAGAAGTTTTTAAATTTATAAAATAAATAACTAAAAGTATAAATATAAAGAAGTTCTTAATTTTACTTTAAAAATGTTTATGATTTATAAAAAATGGTTAAATTAGTAGTATTATGGGATTCAAGGTTCTTGAATTCTTCTTCTTTATTAACTATTTTTTTCTATCTAGAAGCAATGTTAGGTTTTTGTTTTTGTTTTTATTTATAAATCTTCCAATTTCTGTTAATGTGTTGACTAATCTGGAGTCGAGTCGGGTATGATCACAAAGATGATCAAATTTTTCCTATTAAATTTTAGCACAATTATATATTCAGGATTCAAACCTAAAATCGGATAGGATAACAAGGATTACAAAGCTCTTTCTATCCAATTTTAGCACAATTATATATTCAGAATTCAAATTTAAAAGTAATAATTAAGCTGGCCTCGTAAATTCCTCCACATATATTTGTTAATTGCTGGCCAATGCTATGTTTCTTAACTTTGTCCTGACTCCTGAGTTCTCGTGATTTTCATCATGGAACGCATTAGACCTAACTATTGGGCCATATTTATTCTTCAAAATAAATTTGTTCCCATCAGATCATAGGAATTTAAATAATACATCGATAACTATTTTTTTTTTCCATGAATTTCTGCTATACAGTTATAACGACACTTAGTTCTTAATAATCATTAAAATATTCCAAAAAAAAAAAACTTGCATAAATGCTTTGTCAAATTTACATTGGCTCAGCTTTATTTCTGAACAAGGACAATTCCAACAACTTCAGCATCTCACTTTGCTCATAGATAATAAATAAACACGGTAATGAACCACTGCTGTATTGGATTTTTATTTATTTCTAACCACGATACTTTCTTTGTGGTTCCAATAGGTTAGACGGAATAATCTACCCGGCTGCGCAGTTGGATGAGAATGAAGCTTTTGGATGACTCTCATAAGGCTTGTTTCGAATCATCCTTTGTGTGTAAAACGGTGGAAAAGGGACAAATAAATGTCTCAGTGGACAAATTTAAGAGCTCCAAGTTAATATACAAGGGAATGGTCAAGACGTGTCACAACCCGATAAATTGGTCGCAACATTGGATCTAGGCCATATTTTAAATTTTAGACTTTGTATTTTTTGGTAGAGATTTGATCATATTTTATGTTGATTCCATCCATTATATTGTTATACAATATTTGAAACTTATAATTTTACTTTTTACAAGTTTGGTGTATTTTTTTTAACTTAAAATAATATAGTTTGTTTAATATAGTGGTATTATTAGTTTAATATATCTTGTTTGAATATAGGGGCAGGTTCTTACACCGGTGTAGGACTTATTAATCGTCTTACACTGGTGTAGAATGATCCTGATCCACACACACACACATATAAGGGGTAGGATATTCTTATACCAGTGTAAGAGTTAGAAGTCTTACACTCAATCTTAATCATTGATCCACTTGTATCCAATGACTCAAATTATTAAAAAATTAGAGCCCTTGGATATAAGTGGGATCAATGGTCAAGATTGAGAGTGTAACTTACACTGGTGTAAAATGATCCTGACCTCTATATATATATATATGGGGCAGGATATTCTTACACCAGTGTAATAATTAGAAGTCTTACACTAAATCTGAATAATTGATTTACTTGAATCTAACGGTTCAAATATCTAATAAATTAGAACCATTAGATAGAAATAGGATCAACGATCAAGATTAAGAGTGTAACTTACACTGGTGTAAAATGATCCTGACTCTATATTTATATATAACCAAATCTTAATAATTGATTTTCTGCATCTAACGGTTAAGATTTATTAGGTCTCACTCATTAATTAATTTTTAATTCCCAATAAATCTCAACCGTTGGATGCACGGAAATCAACGATTAAGATTTGGTGTAAGACTTATTATTCTTACATTGGTGTCCCATATATATATGAGGTTTATATTTCTGCAGCTGCTGTATGTGCAACAATCAAATACTTACCATATATATATACTTGAAAGCATTAAATGCAGGGAATCATAACCATATAAAGGATGAAAGTATCATAACTATACACATGTCGTTGCTGTACGTAAAGCGACTGTAGAAATGATTTTACCTATATATATATATTAATTATGAAATATTAATTAATTTTAGTCTTATGACTTAATTATCCATATGCTAAAATTTATGCAATTTTAAAGCCATTAAGACTAGGATAATAATAAAGAAGTCAAGTAATTTATACATGGTTATAGATTCAAACTTTAATATCATCATTGTTTTACTATTTGAGTATTAAAAAAGTGTACACATTTTTGCTTAAATTTTGAGTCGATTTAGTTGCCATCCAATCATTAGTTAGGTTAATTAAGTTAGGATCGAACCCAAAAATATAATTATTGAGTTACGGTCAATCATGTTAAACCCAAACTGACCCTTTTTATAGGCACCCATCGAAAATGAAGTTATTATGTTTTTATAGATTTCATAGCTTATTTGTTGTTGCCAAAGCATAATATTTGATCTTTTGGCACTTGAACTATATATATACTAGAAATAGACAAAAAAAAAAAACCTTGATGATAAATAGTGAACTTAAAATAATAATTGACCAAGCTCAGTTGGCGCATGAGAGCTAAGCAGATGGGGGTGAGAGCATGTATTTGAATCTCTCTAGTACCACATTTGGAATGGATTTAAGAATCAATTGGAATATTTTCAAAAAAATAAAATAATAATTGAATAAAATTAAGAAAAAAATAAAAAACCCCTTAAAGATTTACTTAAACAATCTTCTTAATTAATTAAAAACATTAGATATTTTGAATTGCTAAAATATGAAAACAATGTAGAAAAAAGAAAAGAAAAGTCTGTCCAAAGAAGAATTGGCACGAGGTGCGTGAACGCAAACCCAAACCCAGTGTGTGGTGTGCAGCCCCCGTTGATACTCACCAAACCTTTAACGGCTCAGTTGCTTCTCTCTCTCTCTTTCTCTCTCTCCGTTGCTTCCCTCCAACAGAAGATACCTCGGAATCTTCTTTCTTTCTCTCTCCTCTCATCTCTTCTCTCTTTTTTCTTTTTTCTTCTTTAATAATAACTACCCACAACAGCAACACACGTAACCAAACCAAAAAAACAAAAAACACACAAAAAATTATTGAAACAGAATGAGAGCACTGAATTCGCATGTTGTGCTTATTGATCTTCACTGGATCAACCACCACGTTCCCACCTCAACGCTCGCTTACCTTAAAAACTCAAACTTCTTTTCATTTCGTCGTTCGGTGAAAAAGGGTATTCGCTCTTCCGCCTCGCCGGTGATTCGACGGCCATCGGATCGCTTCTTATACGGAAATGGGTCGTCTCAGAACGTTGCATCGACCTCGACGGAGCTCAAGGTGTTTCTGGAATTACTACCATTGAAGATGAGGAGAGAGTTGTATCGGCACAAGGAAATTGGAGGGCTCATAGAGGTTGTCATGGATTTGGGTAGAAAGCCTCTTGCGAGGTTTCCTTCAGGTGATTGGGTCATCTCTGAACAACCCATCAAGCCCGAAGATTTACACCACGCCATTTCCAAGGTAACTCAGTCAAAATGTTGTCTTGTTTCACCTTTTTTTTTTTTTGGAGTCTAATTTGTTTTGCCATCGTGATTTTGACTTTCTCAAGAACTGAACTTTGATGGAGCCACTTTGAATTTTTTATTGTTTGAACTGGTATATTTAAGTCAATGATCTGCTCTCAGTCAATGCTCTGTGATTTGTTTATTGGGAAATTTAATTGTTGTTGCTTGAATTGCGCCAAGATGTTAAAGGTGGGGTCCAATGGCTTACAAAGAAGGTTGTGAGGAGTGTGTAAGGATTTGTCTTTATAATTAAGATTCGAAAGAGCTTTCTATTTTCCTCAGTATTACATATAATACATGAATGGGAGCCTTGACGGTTAGTTGATGTTGTTGCCATGTGACTCGGGTTTCATTGTTCAAATCATGTAATCAATTTCTTGCAAATGCGTGTTAAGTTTGCATATTATTTTATAGCGTCATGTTACCCTTTTTGTGCATAACGGGAGCTTTTACAGAACCAGGTTGCTCTCTTTGTAATACATGGTCAAATTCAGTCCTTTGTCTCATTGTTAGTCCTAATGAGTAATGACTGATGTCTTCGCATATAATGCTTCATTATTTTAGGTTGGTGAGTTTTCTGATGACAACCGATCCGGTATTGATAGCTCTTTACATCGTATAAGTGCAATTAGGAATCGTAAAATGCAAATCATTGGCCTTACTTGCCGGGTGGGTCGAGCTGTGAGTGGTAGTGCTGAAATCATTCATGATTTGGTTGAGGATGGTAGTTCTATCTTGGTCATTGGACCTCCCGGAGTGGGTAAAACAACCTTAATCAGGTGAACCTTTTCTGATATCTGATTACATTTTAAGTGTCTCGATTTGTATATGGAAGTGGTTTATTTTGCAAAAAATGCCAATAGAAAACTGAATTTTTTTTGTTTTCTCGTTCTTCACTTTTTTTTTTTTTTTCTTTCATGTTTCTATGCAAATGCCTCCAAAGCAAATTATCCATTGCTGGATGTTTTCTTATCGGGTTTAATATTATGCATTTGTTACTGTAGACTCCCCAAAAAATGAGTTTTGTAGTTCTATAATGTGAAAATAGCTGAAAATAAGTTAATGATAATTACCCTACTATAGTTTAATTAGACATCTTTAGCCATTTCTTTTGTCAGGTGCCTTTTATTTAATTTGCATGTCTGAAGAAGCTTTGTTTGTGCAGAGAGATTGCTAGGATGCTGGCAGATGAGTTCAGGAAGCGTGTTGTAATAGTGGATACATCCAATGAAATTGGAGGTGATGGAGATGTTCCTCATGCAGGCATAGGCAAAGCAAGGAGGATGCAAGTTCCGAACGTAAATATGCAGCATAACGTTCGTACTAATCTCAGTCATTTGGCTTAATTGATTACTCCCTCTTTATAGAAAATGTTCTGATAATTTGTGATCTTCTGTGACACCATTTTTGTTTATTAATGCAGGTTATGATTGAAGCAGTTGAAAATCATATGCCCGAAACCATTATTATTGATGAAATAGGAACAGAGCTTGAAGCATTAGCAGCCAGTACCATAGCTCAAAGAGGAGTTCAATTGGTTGGAACAGCACATGGAATGACCATTGAAAACATAGTAAAAAATCCTTGTCTTCAGATCCTCGTTGGTGGCATAGAGGTGCAAAGTTGCTCTTTTTTATTTTCCTTTCAGTTTTATGATATATAATGAATAATGATTAACTAAATACATCAGTCCATTCCGGGCCCCTCCTTCTTTAAAAGAGTGAATCAATCTGAAATTTCAAAAGCATATACAAATGGAATATGCATAGTGCTTGCCCATATTTTTAATGTTTGTTGAACATTTATTTGAATAGAGCGTAACCCTTGGGGATGAGGAAGCCAAGAAAAGGAAAGTGCAGAAGACAATTCTTGAACGGAAAGGACCTCCTACATTTACATGCGCTGTTGAGATGATATCTAAAACTGAATGCCGTGTTCATCATAGATTAGATGCAACTGTGGATGCCATTTTGGCAGGTATTCCTCATCTTCTATATGGAATATCTTAATATCTAACCGATATAGTATTTGCATAATTATTTATACTGAAGGTTAAGTAGAGAATCTCCGTCATTACAGGAAAACCTCCAGTATTTCAAGTCCGTCAATGGGATGATTTCAACAAGGATTTGGTGAAGTATGCTCCAATGCCTGAAAAAGATCATGGAGAAATGCCTGACTTATCTAACAATAATATCGTGGGTTCTGACATAGAGTCTGGTGAGGATGATAAAGACCATCCTCCTACTTGGTCCAAGAAATGGAGTACCAGTGGGTCTGTGATAACGAGGAGTTCGCCAATGCAAGTGTATATTTACAAGGTAAATTATTTTAGAGGTTGCTCATGCTAAGTAGAGTGTTGAGTGATTGGGCATGTTATCAGGATTCAGGGCTTTAATAATTGTCTTATTTTCCGTGTTCCTTGTATTTCATACTTGAAAGAATAAGTTGCCCAAAACATTTCTTGATGCTTTGTTTTTCCCCAAACGGGGCATTGTTTTATTGTTGGATGAGTTTAGATTCTGGAAGCTGATCTCCTACAAGTAGCAAAGGTGATGGGGCTTGAAGATGTGATAGATGTAACTGATGACATTGGAACTGCTGATGCTGTTCTAGCATCCAGTTCTGAGATACGACAGAACCCATGGATCCGTGGTGTGGCAAAATTCCATCAGTTACCTGTATTTGTTATCAAGGTGCCCTCTTGCTGCCTCTTTAGCTATTCCTTCAATGTTGTCTCCTTTTGTCTTATAATGAATTTTTGTTTCTTGCAGTCCAATACCATGGCACAAATGGTTAAGGCAGTGCGTATGATCGTTGGGCTAGAATCCTATGGCCATACAGCAAAGAAGCCATTAAATGACTCTCTGGATATTGAAATTGAGGGTGATGAACCAAAACGAAAACCATCTCTGGAAGAGATTGATGCCTTGGAGGTACAATACATACAAGCCCTTTCCTTTTATTTAATTAGTATCTGATATCTCTTGTTGAAGTTCCATTTTCTGTGTGGAATTATTGTCTATGCTGTGTGCGCTTAGCTGCAGTTTGTTTGTGGCTTTGTGCCTTCTAGAAAGATTGACATTTTCTTCTTTGGGCATTGGGCAATTGAATTTGTTCCTTTTAATGAGAAATAGGTTCCCTCCTAGAGCCCAACTGTGCATACTCATTTGCGTTGTTTCTCTATTCATGTTTGCCAGCAGTAGTTTACTTTTAGTTTCTGGCTTTCTGCTTTAAAGGCCATTTTTCTGAATAAATGACATTCATATTAAACAATTGTGTTTTGACTTAAAAAAAGGATACATTGCCTAGAGTATTATGTGTAATCTCTTTAATTGTGACATGTAATTTAAAAATTTCTTATACTTTTGTGGCAGGAGGTTCGGCTTGCAATAGAGTACATTGTCATTCCTGGTGGAGAGCCTGTGGAACTTCTTCCAAGACGTTCTGAAATTATTGCCAGGCAGCTTGAACTTGTGCAAAGCTATCAGTTAGCTGCTGAAAAGTCAGGTACGGAACAGAATCCAAGGTTGCAGATTCTTCCCTTGAGGCTAAACACAAAAAAAACCTCTAAATCAAGTTCTGTTTCCCGTAAGAAAACTAGTCCCACCTCAGTGTCTAGTCATGGCATTGGCAGCAATGGTACCAGTGTCACCAGGCTTCCTTTTTTGCCCGAATAATTCAAAAATTTCTCCTATTCTTCTAACACATTTCAATTCACTGGTTCGTACATGTAAGTAGTATGTATCATGTACAGTCATGGAAGTGGTGTAAATAATTTATTTATAGCTCAATTTGGGGTGTGACATTGATGTCGGAAGTTTGATCCTCCGCCAAGCTACCCCTTTCTGTACTTAGATCCTTGCATCTCCAATAAATATAAATTCATTTACAGAAAATGTAATGATTTTACGCCTCAAATGTAGTTCCAATTTATAACGGTGTACATATATATTACATGTTTACTTATATAGCTAGAGAGTCAAACAACCGCTTAAGCATTAAAAATAAATATAAAAATTACTAAAGACAGGTTGAGATTCATATCTTCTGTCATGTTCGTTGTCATTAAGCCCCATTACCAACAGTGCGCTTTGGATACTTGATTTAGTATAATTAAACTTGAAATAAAAGGGTATTTGAAATATTATTAAATCGTATTTGAATCTGTACATAGGGGTCTCTATTTATAGAGACTTCTTGACCTAATTTTGACCTAATGGGCTTGGCCCAATATACAAGTAACGGACTAAATAAATACAAATAAATGACTACATAATTACTAATAAATGACTACATAATTACTATTTACAACAGCAATAAATGACTACATAATTACTAATAAATGACTACATAATTACTATTTACAACACTCCCCCTCAAGCTGAGGAATAGATATTTATCATTCCCAGCTTGCTAGCAAGTTCTTGAAATCTATCTGAAGGAAGCCCCTTTGTCAATAGATCAGCTAATTGACGCCCAGTGGGAATGTATGGAGTGGTAATCAACCCGCTATCAAGTTTCTCTTTGATGAAATGGCGGTCGACCTCAATATGTTTAATCCGATCATGTTGAACTGGATTATGAGCTATACAAATAGCGGACTTATTATCACATAGCAGCTTCATAGGTCCCTCACATTTTATTTTTAGATCATCAAGTACAATTTTCAGCCACAGTACAATGGGTAGGATAGAAGGTTACAGTACAATTCAAATCTTTTGTAATTTTATGAATATAAAGAAGATTCGTGGAGAGTTTAGGAACATGAAGAACATCATTAAGATGTAAGGACTGCTGTAAGTTTATGTCACCAGAACCCGCAACTGATGTATGAGAGCCATCAGCTACGGCTATTGTATGAGTTCCAATGGTAGGATGATAAGAGGTAAAGGAGTCAGCACAACAAGCCATATGATCAGTAGCACCAGAATCAACAACTCAAGAATGTTTAAAATCATTACATGAAGAAAGGAAAGAATAAGTTTTGGAGCTCATACCAGTCATAGTCAAAGCACTAGTATCAGATGGCTTACTCATAGAATCAAGAATGGTTCGGAGCCGTTCCAACTCATCTGGACGAAATGCAGGTTGGGTCTTATTAGGTGTAGGAGTTATTTCAGAGGAAGTAAAATGCGCTTGACCACGCAACTTTGCCATCTTTTCTAAGACAGATTGCTTTCCATAAAGGCGAAAGCATAAATCCTTGATATGACCTGTTCTTTTACAATAAGAACACCATCGATCATCTCTCTTAGGTCTAGAAGAGGTACCATCATAAAATTTTGAAAAAGAACTCCTTTGAGAAGAGGCCATACTGCACAGAAAATGGTCAAAGAAAAGCTCGAAGAAGCCAAAAAATCACAAATAAATACCAAACGATGTCCGATCAAAGAGAGGAGCACAGATCCAGAAAGAAGATGAAAAACCACCGGGAAAGGGTCCAATCGTGATGAAAAGATGCTGTCTTGTGATGAAGAATAATGGAGACGATGAACAGTAACAGAGATCCAGTATAACAGAGATCTTCTCGGTCCAAGAGGTCCCCGGAAAAAATCTGGTGGCGGCTGATGGCAGCGAGAGACTAAAAGAATAAAAGGTTCTTGTTCTAAAGACAATAGGCGCGGAAGCAGAGCCCTCAGGATCGAGAGCTCTGATACCAACTTGAAATAAAAGGGTATTTGAAATATTATTAAATCGTATTTGAATCTGTACATAGGGGTCTCTATTTATAGAGACTTCTTGACCTAATTTTGACCTAATGGGCTTGGCCCAATATACAAGTAACAGACTAAATAAATACAAATAAATGACTACATAATTACTAATAAATGACTACATAATTACTATTTACAACAGCAATAAATGACTACATAATTACTAATAAATGACTACATAATTACTATTTACAACAATTAATATTTTATTTAATGGGTGATGATTGAGTTCGGTATTAACCAAATGGGCTTTGGTCATAAGGGAATTCGATTAATTAAAATATATTATTATGTTTCGTTCTTTTTTAACTTTGGTACATAAATATATTGTAATACATAATAAACACCTAAAGCTTGGGTTACGATGAAAAACGTGAAATTCTGTGAGTTATTAATGTTTCATATGTAAGACTGAATGTAAGTTGATTATTGAACCTTTCATACATATTTCTCATATGATTGATTTATGGAACATTAAAATTAACAAAATTAAACATTTTTAATTTTAACCCGAACTAAAGGAAAGTTGTGTGATACAAAATAAACTTTTTGAGGAATTAAAAATGACTAAAAGACCAAAAAGGCTATTTGTCATTTTCCCTAAACTGAAGCATGACATGGTCAAATATAGATATACAATTACATGAAACAAAAGCAAACGGCAAAAAAAATTAATTTAACGTTTTTTAATAAAATAATTATTCATTTATTATAGTTTTCAAAATAATTACATATCTATTGCACAATGTGACGAGTAAAAAAGTTAATTTATTGTTTTTTAATAAAAAATTACGAAAAAGTAATCGTTTTGAAATTAATTACAAAAATATAGCACTCAAACACGCCCACATGAGGCGTGTTATAAGAGAGAGACACGCTCATGTGGGGCGTGACCTAAGAGAGAAACACGCCCACATGAGGCGTGGCCAACAGAGAGAGACGTCCAAGAGAGACACGTCCATGTGAAGCGTGACCTAAGAGAGAGACACGCCCACAAGGGGCGTGACCTCCCTTGATACAAGTCTTATCTGTACAAATTGCTCAGTAAAAGCTGTTTGTACAGTAAAAGTTGTTTAATATTGCTTCTGATGGTGAAGGCATACCGGCGATGGAGAAGATAGGAAGTAGAGACCATTGGCTGAAACTGTAGGAAATCTTAGATTTATGCGGAAGCGGTTTAGGACCTAGTACATTGGTATGCTTACCGAATCATCCTTGTTTCACAATTACCTCTCGGTGCGCAGGTCTCGTGTAGAATCTTCCCTTGTAGGATTCCTCTTCACGAACAGCTCACCTCAGCGCCGCAGCACGAACAACCTCCTTGAAGCTGGACTGTGGCAGATCTTCCAAACTATCTCTCGAGGAGGAAGGGGAAGTGTGTGGGCACTGATTAGATTCTGAGCTTGCCTCTTTCTCACAAAAAAGACCTTCCCGCGGCTGATGACTTAAGAGGTACTATTTATATGGGTTCCAAGAAACCCTAGCTCATTGGGCTCTAGGTTCCTTGGGCTCTTCTCATACTAATAACTTATTTGGGCTTTAGTAAAAGAGCAAACCCAACAATCTCCCACTTGCTCTTTTGGATACAAACTTGAGTCGTAAAACCCAAGATCATGTAACCCATAAGTCATCATCTATCCGAAAAATACCCCATCCCTTGTCTCAAGCTAGCTTGGGGATCTACCATCTGTTATTAATCAAGGCTCCTGATAATCAACGAATGATTATCTAATTCGGTGCTACTCCACTAAAAGCCCGAACTTGAACTCCAAGATTAACAACACTTATAACATGAATATGCATTGCCCCTTTGTAGAATGTCTATAATTGATTGACAAGTTTTCTGTAACTCAATCAATTATTTATTCCCTTGACTATGATAGTTTCTCTAATGGATTACATGCACTGGCCAGTGTCTTTAATATCCAAATACCGAAACATATCAAGGGGACATATCCTACAAATTCCATGTTGTTTATCTCATAAATACCGATAATCAAATAATCTCACTCCCAAAATACCGAGTTATTGGCCGTCAATAGATCGAACCTCACCCGTTGGTAAATCAAAGAATGAAAACTATTTGATTACCTATTTATAATAAACTCAGGATTAAGAGCAATCACATAACTATAGTTAACTTGAGATTTGATACCTTATGACAGAAAAACAACCTTAATCAAATCTCTCCTTGATCCTTTCAATGTGAATGTTAATTCACACCAATATTTTACAATGATTCGGACAAAATCATTTCATAAAATATTGCAACCTGAATAAACTGCCCAACTTTATTTAACGGCTGTGACTCCATTCATTAATTGTGAGATCCTATGATCATGTTCTCCATGAACGTATCCATATGATCATATACTCCACAATTTGATCCGGACCTTTATGTTTGTAAATAGTGAGCAAAATAAATAAATAAAACCTTATTTATGAAATTCAGAAAATGATTTTATTGTTTCATCGTCTTATTCCAAGAGCACAATAAAACCAATAACTCCCACTTGCTTAATGCAAGTCTGGGATCCTCCTAAGACCCAAAGAAGTAACATGCCTCTCGAACACAAGTTCAGGCAAACTCTTAGTAACTGGGTCTGCAAGATCCACCTCTAATGTTATCTGAGTTTAATGAAAAACTCATAGCTCGATGTTGATTTTCTTAAGTCAATATCCACTTGAAATAACTGAATTTTTGAAAACTCAGCCTTTCAAGACTCCCACTAGAATATACAAGCATATAATCTCTCGTTCTCCAAAGATACTTGAGTACATGCTTAACAATAATCTAGTATTCCTCTAGGTTCAAAATGGTACTATCTCACTACTCCCACTACGTGACAGATGTCTGGTTTAACGCCCAACATGATATGCGTGAGTCTACCTTTGCCAAAGCATAAGATATCTTGCTCATGCATTCTTCCTTCTTAGAAGTCTTTGGTCACTCCTTAGGAAGATGAATTCCACATCTGAGAATTATAATTCTTCTCTTAGAATTCTCATGTTGAATTTTGGGTTTTGTCAATGTAAGTAGCCTGAGGTGATGCCAACAACTTATTCTTCCGGCCTCATAAGAGTTTTATACCAAGAATATAATTGGCTTCCCCAGTACTTCCATACCAAAACACTAACTTAGCCAACTCTTTATGCTTGATATTACCTCCACATTGTTTCTAATAAGGAGCAT